CCCTTTCCTCCTGCCTGGCAGCTCCATATTCAACATCCAGTATATCCTCTATTCCTCCTCTGCACAGGCTCAAACCATCTCAGTCTCACCACTCCAACCTTTTTCTCCAACCCTTCAGCATGACCTGTCCCTCTGATGAACTTATTTCTAATCCCGTCCATTCAAGTCAGTCTTAAGATCTTTATATCTCCTATGTCCAGCTCGGCCTCCTGCCTATTTGTTAGTGCCACTGACTACAAACCATAAATCATAAACTGGTCTTATTGAATACAGTAGGATCTTTTTTTTTTTGTAAGTGATGCTCCTCGTTAGTGCCAAAAAGGAGTATAAGGCAGGTTTGCTTTAGGGCGAGCCTGCAGTGACATCAGCAAGTCCCTATTATTTGAGCATCCCTCAGTTTTTCAGTTTTCATCACTTCCTGTTTAAAAACAACAAGAGAGTGAAAATCAGACAGACTTCACCACAGGTCTTCATTAACCATCGTTAAGAGCACCTCTCTTACTGAGTAACTGTCCAGTTCCTGTGCATTTACCACCTTTCATTCTTCTATTGTGTCTGTTTACCTGAAAGTGTGGTACAGAGCATGTTTGTGGGCGTGGCTCCAGTCCTGCAGGTCAATGCGGAGGCTGTAGTGGCCCTGGTTAGACAGCCGGTGCAGGTGCTGGTTCCCCAGCCAGTGTTCACCTCGCGGCTCGCCAAAGCCATCACGGTACTCAGACCATCCACGGTTGAAGCTCACTGACCCATCACGGCGCCGCTGAAACACTGTCCAGCCTCCACCTAGTGCACACACACATAGAAATGTGTAAAGTGTGTGTAGTATCTGAGTGTTTCCATTACTGGCACTAGTATTGCAGGAACTAACACACCAGCTGTCTCACCCTCGGTGTCCATGTCGCAGTAGACAGGCCGGGCGGTGCCTGGTGACAGGACAATAGTGTAAACACCAGAACGACGGACACCGTTGTGATACAGCGAGGCACAGTCTGATGGACAGAAAGACAGGGGCTGTACATCTGAAGGGAGACGGACAAAGTTAAAATGTACTGTGAAACATCAAACATCCCACAATTCATCACCACGTTTGCTGCTGGTGCACCTGGTGGCAGTGTGTCTCGCATGCCGAGTGGCGCAGTCCTGATCACGTTGACCTTGCAGCCCGTGTTGTGACTCATGTGGCGCGCGGTCGCCGACAGGTTTCGGAGCTGCACCTGCAGCTCGTACAGCAGCGCCGCGTGCACGTGGAGCAGCGTGTCGGCCTCGGCGTGACGG